TTCTGGAGTAACCTGGTTGTAGTATATACGAAACCTGATTCATAAAATACAATTAAACAGTTTTTTTTTTATAATGAAAACACTTTATTTTCGTGTATGTCGCAAGGCTAGATAAAAAAGCTCTCTCCGTCCGAATATTAAAATTTATTTATCCAGTCTAGGCTATTACAAACGCTTGTAAATATCAAAAGCTATGCTAACGGTTCGCGAATCTACGGTGGGAGACTTTGTACTTAGAAGAACCGGCAAGAAAATAGGCTAGAGCTGCTTTTTTCTTCCAGTTTTATGTCAAATATCGATTAAAGATTATAAAGTGATTTTATCAGAATATGAAGTCATCTTGCATTACGTAAAAGATTACAAAACGATTTTTTTTTTCTTTAATCAATCAATATGCAAATTCATTGATAGTAAATTGATATACAATATGCATAACAGAAAATGAATAAAATTAAATAGTCCATAGCAGACTAATCTCCACTGGCAGCATCCGTCGATGAGCATGGCGCATGAGCCAGCCATCGCTTCGCTAAACCTTAGTTTAGGGAACGTAACGACCTGACGCACACTACAATACCGTAAAGATATTTATGTAAGGGAGCATGACATTCTCTGGGTACTCAAATTAGTATAGTGTGTTAAGACGAAAGGTCTTTATACCATATCTCTTACAGTGCTATTAATAAACAAGGTTTAGCGTCTGAGTAAATTTACGCAAAAATTGCCTGAGTCTGAGTAAATTTTAAGCTAAATTTTAGTATTTGACCAAATTCATAATAATCAGAGAGTAATCCAATCTTCTAGGAATAAATATTATTCCGTACAACCTCGTACCAGGTTAACCTTTGCCAAGTCTGTTTAATAATATGAATTTGAATAATACTAGGTGCAGTTTCAGCGTAAATTTACTCCAACACTAAACCTTTTTCTTTTATAACATTTTTTAATTGTGAACAGAAAGTACTAGTAAGAGTAGGTACCAGACATGTTTTTCAGGTTTCAAAGAGTGGCAAACTGGACCCTATTATTGAGACTCTGCTGTCCGTCCGTTTGTCTGTCTGTCCGCCTGTCACCGATATCTTATGAACCGTGTTAATTAGACAGCTTAAATTTTAACAGATGATGTATTTCTATTGCCGCTATAACAACAAATACTAAAAAAAAAACAGAATAAAATGCATATTTAAGGGGTTTCCTGTACAAAAATAGTGTTTTTTTTGCGTATCGCATCGAGGATAATATGGAACTTCGTGCTCGAGTCGAGTTTCGTTTAACTTTTAATAGTGGCTTGTTGGTTTTTAAAATTACCAAAGCATAAAACGTAATCAATTTAATCTTCATAGGTGCGTCTTGGCTTCCTTCAGGTTCTATATCTTTTTGTGTTGGACTTACAGAAGCGATATCCACGAAACTATATTTTTTTTAATCCAGAAACCTTCCCACGTATCCACCGAACTTTATATATAAGATATATGTATATAGGTATGTACTTAATCATATAGGTACGTACATTAACCAATGCCTGTTTCGCACAATATCTTTCTTTTCTTCTTTTTCCTTTAATGCTTTTTTTAGCTGGAAGATTGTTTTCTTAAGTGATTTATATAATACTCGTAAATAAGTATTACTATTTAATTCTAAAATATTAAGTCAAATAAACATTTCCAGTCCGTTTGCTTCTGTTAAGTTAATACGCAAGCATTATTATTGTAGAGATTGTAGCCAGAATAAGGTCCCGAACGTTCAAATACGAATGTAGCATTATCAATTTGTATCTAATAAATTGTGTATTTTCCTTGGCACTCATAAAATATGTTTTGGCCGACTCTCAATCGGCGTTCTACTCAATCGAATTACAAACTACGTGATACCCAGACCTTTATATATTTCTCGGCGATCGTCCACAGTGTCACAATGAAAATGTGTTTCTATTACCAGAGCATAAGGTGCTTTCGGAAGCGTATTGTCTTCAGTTTTTTGAAGTTCACTGAGGAGAAATGTAATTTTTAGAAATAACTTTTGTCATGTTGGCCAATCAAGCGTTATGGTGTAAAAGCTTAACTTATAAATGTAAATTGTATTTGAGAAAAAACCAATATGCAAAAATTAATATAAACCAAACATTCCTCATGAAACAACATTGTACTAAAATCTGTGAAACTTCGGGAAAATGCATCAAAATACTTCAAGCTGTTTTTGAGATTATCACGTTTTGATATACATATGTATGTGGTGGTTTACTTAAGTATGACAAAGTAAACATACAGTAGGTAATATCATTGATATACCTATGATGATAAGGTAAGGAACTTCCGCAAAGAAAGAATTAATTAAACTAAATTCCTCGAGAACAAAATTACCAATGTGTAGCTTAACGTTGCTAATAATGTCACACATTATTAGATGGCGTTACTACGTGTGTCATATAGATATACATCGGTTCGGCGAGAAAAGGCCAGTCACTGAGGAAGAATGGGATGGGTAGCTGTTTTAGAAATTTTGGTAATGCCTCGAATAAACCGGTAGGGCTCAGGTCAATCCAGATTATTGTAGTCTAGATGCGGTATCGGCCACTGTAAATATGCGGTGGACTACCCGACCGGCATTCTTTCAGTGACTTATCTAGTGACCTGAGTAAGAGAGCGAAACCTGAAGCAAAAACTAGTGATGGGAACTAATAGTGGACGATCTAATAGTGTTGGGAAGTGACCGTAGTGACGTGATTAGTCGAGTTAAAGTGGGTGTTTTGTTATTGGTTTTTATTTTTGTGGTTTTGTTAAGTAAATTAAATTGGTACCCAGCAGTAGGTTTTATTTGATCATCATCAGCCCTTTTTAGTTCTCACTGTAAGGCGTTTTTTATGGATGGTTAAGAAGGATGGGTCAATACTCTCTATACTGGTCCAATGGGGATTGGAAGGTATTAACTTACCCTCCAATCCGCATTGGGCCAGCGTGGAGGGTCATGGCCCATCCTCCTTAACCATCCATAAGGAAGGCCTGAGCCCCTGCAGTGGGGACGTAAAAGGGCTGGTGATGTGATATGAACTGCAAATGTGGCCTGGATCAATTTGTCTTAACATGCTTTTCGAAGCACGGAATAATTCGAAATAATAATTTTTCGGTCTTTTAACTGAAAAATTTCTTCACAACGACAATCACGGATCTTATTAGATAGGCTAGTGATCAGAGAGCCCAGATTTGAGGCAAAAGCAGCATTTCCACCGCGTCAGCAAAAATGTCCAGTAGTCCAGCAGCGATGACGTCAGACTGACGATGACGCGTCTGTTTGAATTATAATTAAATTTATTATCACCAGCCCATTAATATCCCTAATACTCGGGCACAAGCCTTCCCTATGCATATGGTGGAGGCTATGGTGGAGGCTAATGATTGTAGAGGCAGCTAGGACCAATAGGCCTTTAGAAACACGGAAGAGCTTGACATAATAAATTTATGATCACCAATCTCTCGAGTAGCCCTTACGAAACTTGCTCAACTTCCGCATCACATACCGAAAGTCCTAACCACTGCGCCATTTATTAATTTAATTTATACAAGCTCTTATTTATTTTAGAATGATTGATCATGAAATATTAAAACAACATAAATACAGATTTTAATATCTCAATATTTTATAATGTTCAATGAAAACACACAGTTGAATCAATCAAATGACAAATGTAATCAATCCAGTATTTCCATATTCATCGTCATATAATTAAATATTTTTGTACTAATTATATAAAATATTAATTAATGCCGACAAGCGAAGCTCGTATTATCAGCACTAACGTTCACCTGTCGATTATACATTCCCATTATTGAGAAACTTAATTGGATTGACTATTAAACAGAATGTCATTTACATGCGGTATTTGAATTAATATTAACAAGTGCAAAAGGACGAATATGCCATGCATTATCATAGTATAACAATCTTTTAATGGATGAATTGATGGAAAGTGACTTCAAATTTTAACGAAGTCATTTTCAATCTTGACGCTCTGTATAAAATAAAACTGGGAGAAAAAAGCAGCCCTTGCCGAGTTTCTTGCCGGTTCTTCTCGGTACAAGGTCTTCCGCCGTAGATTTATGAACCGATGGCGTAGCTCTCGACTTTCACAAGTGCTTGTAACAGCCTACACCGAATAAATAATTTTGATTTAATATATAATTATTATTTTTTATTTAAATTACCGTGCTATTTAGCAAAATTTTCAAGCTGATTCAGTTTTTGGTATTCGAATGAGCTGAAATTTAGTTTATATATATATATATGTAACTTTGATGACAAAGTAGTATTTATATCCAATAGAGTTGGTGGACTTCTTAATATTAAATGGAGATAGTCTGTCAATGGAGCCGTAGACTTCTGTA